CGAATGCAGCTTGCGTCGGAGCGTGTGAATACTCCGTGATTGAGGAGGTGAGGATCAGGTGCCGTAAAAAGCCTCCATGAGGGCCTTCTGTGTGCCTAACGGGAAATCTCTCCGGATTCCCACAGCTTGCGTTTAGAGAATGTAATTTTTTTCCCCGATGAGAACCTTGCAGCCCTTATCGGAGACTTCGGCAGGTCACCGCGGAAGGCTTTCAACGATTCGACCAGATTCAGGAGGCCATCGAAACGGGGAGAAAATCTCAACCCGGATCCGTTTTTCCAGCGGACCGGAGAGATGAGGGAAAGGGGTTGAATGAGTGAAGGGGGTGAGCTTGCTCCTCTTGAATTTTTTCAAAATTATCTTTCACCGGAATATCGGGTCGAATTGATGGCGATGGGGAGCTATCGACACTACGCGGCCTTCCCCGCGTGACTTTTCACGGAGCGGTTTCGTCAAAGTTCTGACAATGCCGAAAGGCTTGTGAGCTCAGGAAGGGGGAGGGGGTGAACTAACGATGCTCTGAGCCTCCGGATTAAGCGGGACGTAGTCTAGGAAACGACTCCACATTTAGAACGGCTCTATCCGCTCTAGTCATTGAACAAGCATGCTGAGCATGGCGCAAGATGAGCGATTCGAAGTTTTGAAGCAGAGCCCGGTCACAGACCGATATTTCTTGGAGTCCGAACAATTCTTCCGTGTTTTTTTTGAAAACGTAGATTCTGCGGACTGACGTACTCAGCTCTGCGATGAGCCTCCTTTCCCACGGATACACTTGTCGCTCGCTCGACTGTCGAGTAGATGAATTATAATTCTCATCCCAACACGACCCGGAAACGATGCAAGGCGACTCGAGGCAGGGGCCGGGCGCCGATCGACACACCTCGGTCATTCCGTCGCTGCGCTATCCTGAATCCTCCGTACGTCCCGGGAGCTGAGCTCTTGACAGCATCTGTCGATCTGCGATCGATTTCGGACGCCTTCTGTCACTCGCTGCGTATCCTGCCGTGATTCTGAGCGTCGCAGAGTAACTCCCGGAGCTGGAACCGGGACCTCGCGCCGAAGTGAGAAGAGCCTGCTTTACACCGAATGGTTCTGCGCCAGTGATCGCCACCTCGTAGTCCGACCACTTTGTGAATTCCCAGTTCGCCGGAGTTCTCGATTAGACAATCTCTCTGCGCCTCGAATGGACGGCTCGGACCCACTCAAGCTAAAAATGTTTACATCTGTGAGCTTCGAAGCATAGAGCGAATGAAGAATGTCTTCCGATTTATTCGAGCATCTCTGTAAAGCATTGTGTCGGGCGTTCGGATCTGGATAACAATGGCTCGCGAGTTGGCTCTACCAGCCATCCCGGAAGATGGTCCCGCGAACAGTAGCGGTCTGAAGCTCCGGACAGACGTTTAGTGGACTGGACATTTTATTTTTATTTTTTCTCACAGCTACTCTTTGCTCAGTATAAGACCTCCAGCTGCCCGATCGGCCAGTGAGTCAGCTGAAAGGCTCCTAACAGCTAGTCCACAAAAGACTTTCCCTTAGTCCTAGACGTGACTTGCATTATGCCAGCTGGCTCACCGAGGAACACACTCCTCCACAGCTACCTCCCCGAGCGCTAAACATTTTTGAGTCTTTCCGGTGACGCGTCTGAGCAGTTACCAGGTCCTCGAGAGACCTGAACCTGTCGGATTACCGGAGTTTTTAGGTTGATGAACCTGTTGCCGCCGGGAGCAGTGCTTTGACTAGATTCTCCCGGGGGACTCTCAGAACTCTCACTCAGACATACGTGGACACGTTGAAAGCATCAGGCAGACATCGTTTACACGCCATCATGGCGATGATATCATGCGGATAGTCGTTCCGGTCGCAATAAAATCGGTTGGCTCTGGAAGGCATGTAAGGACGGGCTTGCTTTCCCGAGTTCGTCCGCTTGACAGGCGGCGGTCAAAAACGGATCGGAAGGAGCGAGGGAAGACTATTTCCATGAGAAATAGCGTAGAGACACTTCCCGGGCTGACCCACCGCCCGCCTTGTCACTCCGAGAGCTCCGGAAAGGAAAATCATCTCGGGAGAGAACCGAATTTCCGCCATACTGAGGGTTCCGTATCGTCGTTGGGTCCTCGTTCGTTCACCGATGTTATTTGAAGCACCACGTAGAATCAACACTGAGCGTATAGCGCTCTCCCGAGATACGACGGAGATCCTTCCGAAGCTCATACACTGACTGAGACTCCGTAGTGCAGCGTGAACTCCATATGAGGCGGTCCGGGATTCGCGAGCCGCGGGTTAGCAAAAGCACATTCCCGATATGAACACCGCAAGACTGTCGTGAGGATGGCCTCAGACACGCATCCTGAAGATAAGACGGTATCCTGGAGACCTTCCTCTCAGTACGGGACCGGGCTCTGGCCGTATGGATTTTCGATTAGTGGTCGCTTGCCAATGACAGGAAGCATGAATGGGCTCTGTGTGTCCTCCTCTCGAGTTTCATCGATCCGATGATATATTGTCAGATTCTCTCGTCAGGCTATCCAGCACATCCGCTTACGAGCGTCGCCAAGATCCAGAATACGTTCTCTCGACTCTCTCGCCTTCGTCCAACCCGTCCTCCGGGACTTCAAGACCTCTGAGGATCCAACTGTACTCACGAAGTCTCCCCGGAAACTGGGATTGCGAAAATTGGTGATGGACGCCCAGATCCTTATGAATACGGGATACGGATCCTCATGAATACGGGAAGCTGTGATTGACTCTGCCCCGTGAATGCGTGTAGGGAGACGATGTAGGTTCATGCGCCTGAGGCTGTCTGCGGGATAATCCACCGCGGATGTAATCTGTCTATGCATGATCAACAACTAGGCGTCCGTGCGAACGCCAACCATCATGCACAGAGAGACAAGCGGAGAGCACGAGTCCGTATTTAATTATGAACATCGACGACGCGACGTGATTATTGATTTTCGATTAAGGTGCGCTCCGGCTCACTGTCATTTCGGATTAGGGCGCCTTGTGTGAACAACAAAGAGCCGGACTGAATCGGCATTCACCTTCGACCCTCCAATCGGCAGAGCATTGTGCTTGCATTGATAAAAATTAGTATGCGATCGCAGGAACCGACGGTAATTCTCGTTCAGGAATTCTCTCATTGAATCGCGCTCTCTCTCTCTGAATACGAATTCCGTTCGATCCGTACGGCCCATTGAGCGTGCCGATCAGGTGAAATTTCATTCTCTCGTAAACGATCAAGCCGCAAAATGTTTCGTCAGCAGCTGGTACAGCTTCTCACTTCGACTTGGAAGGCAAGAATTTGTCGACGTCCGCCGAATCTGTGAATGAGCTCAGAGGAAATGGAGGCATGCAGCGGCAGGGACGTGTATGCTTCGCGGATCCTAGGCGGGATATTGCTCGCGTAAACGTGGCGAAAATGTTGAGTGACGCTTACGACCGGCCGCTAAGTGACTTGACGAGTTGAATACGGCTCTCTGCGGCGGCCGTCAGCAATCGGAAACTCGGTTTGTCAGGGTGGACCCTACGCGGCCTTTAGAGCCTCGACAACTGTACCTCACAGGCAGATCATCTTCCAATCACGCCGAGGCGGGCTGCCAATGCTCGGTGCTTATTCATCTATCTAGATGGAGCTCACGAGTCCTCCCTAACGCTGGGAATCAAGCGAACGCATTTATCATACCGAGAGAATTTTCGTGAATTCTGCTCGCTGGGCCGCTGGGCGTTCCGCTCAAATATATTCACCGATCTATTCATCACTGAGATTCCTGAATCACTCACAGATCATACCAGGAACCCAGGGTCCGCTCACGCGTTGCGTTCGATGGGTAAATTGTTATTATTATTCCTCTCTGTTCTCGAGCTCATAATTTTTTAATCTCGCAGTCCGAGTCGGACCAGGTCCGCTACAGATTCTACCGCGTTTGGAGAGGGGAACGCACCTGATACATTGTAGCCACCCGCGAGAGGTCGACCGAAATAAATCTATTTTCCGCGGAAATATTAATTACGGCCTCTCGGCAGACAGGTCTACTTCGTTTCCGTGTTGGCGTAGCTCCACGAAGAACTTTGCCCGCCGGAAACGGCGTGAAACCGTAAGATCCGGACCGAGGAGAGCCCTCGGCATCGCTCCGCTTCCCCTCGCTGTTCGTCTGTCTGTTCGTTCCATAGGCCGTCCCATTCATCCGATCGAGTTCGCAGAACACTGGTAGCGGTGTATTGACATGGAAGCATGTCTGTGTGTGCGGTGACCATAACTCATAGGCCGACTGCAGCAAAAGCAATGTTCGGTGTGATTGAGCACGCCAACAACGTCTTTGCGTCAATCATATAGCTCGGACAACTCGAAGCATGTTGCAATCGTCTCGTAAGCGATGCGTTCCTTTCTTCCCGCTTCTGTCGCGCGACCGGCCCCATGCCCTGCTGCTCCAAAGTGTCTATCATTGATGCGATTTCTCAGGCTTCCTTAGCCTTCGATTAGACGCTTCGCGGGAGCATCTTCGGATGCCCATGGTGACAGCTACCGGTGATTGATTATTTTTCGAACAAGTGAACTGGATGGACCGTGGGAGGGTGTCTCCAGCGGGAAGGGAAAAAACGGATCGAATAACTTGTCAAGCGCATCCTCTTAACTTCGACGATCAATCCGTGTCGCATGCTCCTCCGCCGCTTCCTAACTGCCAGGATGGAGAAAAACACTCCGAACAACATGAGGAAGAGAGGGTATCATGCTGTCTCTCGGCGTCCGAAAGCCCCGGAGTGCATCCGGCGTCAGGAAGCCGAAGACGGAAGACAACATTCCAAGAAGAACACTGGAGAGAT